CCCGCCAAAAGTCCCATTCTGCAAACGGTGCTGCACCAGTTGAGTAGTCCTCGACTTACGGCCGGTTGGGGGTCGCAGCATTAAAAAGGTTAAGAACAACTGCATTAAGGTGTAATTCACACATACGTTCTTAAAAATGTAGAAAAACAAACAAACCCTTCCTAGTCCTTTTGATCAACTCAGTTGTTTTTCTGCACGGTCTTCACTAGCTCACTTTACCTTGTTCCTAGCTCATTTTCCTAATTTCTACAGTATTACTCTTATTAGTTTATTTAAAGAAGAAAAGCAGATACAAACAATGGCATCTGCAAGAAAGAAATTAAAAAAGATATAAATGGTGTCCTTCAGTCCCTACACTAGTAGACCAGAGCAGAAAATCAACCCCCCAGGAAGGGCAAAACTACTTTTATTGAGTTTGGCTGTAATAACAGAACGTTGTAAGTCTGATTATGCTGGAGCTTTTACGTCAATGAATTAGGGAGACCTCTGCTTGAGCTTCTTCAAAATGTTATTTCATTCCGGACTTAAATATGCTTCAGGCCTTTTTGCCAGGAAACTGCTCCTGCATATCTTTATCTTGGTGATATTCCACCCTCTTTATACCTTGCAATCTAAGCCCTACCCTTGTGTACAATGGGCATTAAAAAGCGACAAGGTCACGATTGTCCTCTTGACTTTCTTTGCTTGCCTCTTACAGATATGCTTGCATAGATCTCAAATAGAACGTTAATACTTTCTACACACCTAATAAAACAAATAAGCCATATTCCACGGGAATAAATCAAGATGTCTGAAAATCCTAGGCAGTTTATGGCAGTTACTATGCACCAAATATGGCAAACTCTCCTACGTACTTCTGCACACTAAAATAAAGCATTCCTCTCTTCTGGCCATCCAAAGTGGTTAGTTAGCAAGAATATTATTAATAAAGGCAGCACCATAATCTGGGGAAGTCTCTTGATCATCCTCTCCAGAACGATGGACAGTTGAAGGTGGGAATGCTTTCTTAAGGGAGATTAAGTTGATGTTCTTAAAACAGATGAGTATTATTACCATTAGTTTATTTGCGGAAGTAAAACAGATAAAATCAAGGGCATATGGAAGAAGGGAATGGAAAAAAGATGGAGATGGTGACATTGGATCATTCCTGCTCACCTCCCATTATGTCAGTGATTCTCAACCTTTTTAATGCCGCGACCCCCAACCGTTCGTAAATCAAGGACTAAACCAGTCGTAAGTCGAGGACTAAACCGGTCATAAGTCGAGGACTACCCAACCAGTCGTAAGTCGAGGACTTTCCCTGCCCGGGAGCACCGCACATGTGTGGTGCCGCCCCCTGCGCCGGCCGAGGCGTAGCTGGCAAGTGGCAGAGACGGAGCAGGCCGACCACCGGCTGGGCCACCAGCTGGCCCAGCCCAAGGGAGGTAAGGCACCCGCCGGAAAAGGGGGAAAAAATGGCGGACAGCCTTGCTTGGCGACCCCCGTGAAATGGTCAGTTGACCCCAAATGGGGTCGCGACCCATAGGTTGAGAACCACTGCATTATGTGGAAGCTGCTGTTACAGTTGTGAAGAACTTTAATCCTGTATCTCTGCTTCAATTCTAAAGTGATCCTCTTGAGCAGGGGTCCCCAACCCCCAATCTGTGGACCGGTACTGGGCTGCAACATGCCAGCAACCAGTCCGCATAAACAAGCAAAGCTCTATCCATGGAGTGCAGGCGGCACACAAAACCATGCACTCTCCGATCTGCGGAAAAACCTTTCTCCATGGAACCGGAACTGGTCCCTGGTGCCCAAAAGGTTGGAGACCTCTGCTCTTGAGAACCCCAAGTGAGGTCAAGCATAACTGTGTGAACCTAGCCTCTGCTTTTATCCTTCCTTACAAGATCTTCATATGGTCAACCCAGCCAGCCTTTCCTCCCCCAGTGCTTCCAGATGTGTCTGACTGCCAAGTCCATCACCTATAGTTAGGGTGGGAGTCCAGCACATCTGGAGGACGTTTGATTGGGGAGACGCGATGCAGAGAAGGCCGATTTTGCCTGACGTCATCACAATCACCCATTTGGTTCTTGGAGTAAATCTCAGTCAGTTTTTGGCATCTGACAGATAGTTGGAATGTAATCCTGACCCAGCTCCTTCCCGTTCAGAAAGTGTAGCCTGACTGAAGAAGAGTTTTGAGGAAGTCACCAATATGCTGCAGAACTTCTTTTGCTGTGCAAGAGGGAAAAGCCGCCAGAATAAATACGATGCCTGGTGATCATGCTCAAAGTGGAGAATCTCTATCTACTGGAGGTTTAGATGGGCTGCTTGAACAGCAGTTAAAGAAAAGAGCCCTGGAGCTAATTCTTCTAGCCAGCCATGCTGCTCCTGAGTGGCCCACACTGGGCGCATTGCATTCTCTGCCTGTCAAATGGCACACAGCAACACGCTCGTGATGCTGAAAAGCTTATCTGGTCTCACTGCTGCCTGATGAAAGACTAATCACGTTGTAGCTGATGCCTCCCTTACACAGCTAGCCCTGCACATTTGTCTTCTGGCTAGGAGAGAAAAACAAGCCTAGAGGAGGGGGGAGAAACCCAGCTGTTCGGTGGTGCAGATGTGCTGCAGCAGGCAGTCTTTTAAGAAGGATGACCCCTTCCCTGTCTCTCTCCTGTGGCTACTCCAATGCAACCCCTGAGCTGCGCTCCTGTCATTCCTCCGGTAATTTTGCCCATCTCCATAAAATTAGGAGCACTTCGTTTTTTTTCATGTGTGCTCCTAATTTCATTCCTGTAGCTTTTTAGGCAATCCAAATGTTTATCTTCATTCCTCCGAACTGCTATACAGTATCCTAGGCAGTATTTTATCATTTGTGACCCAGGAAGGTTGTAAATAATTTTGTGAAGGTAATCCTTGGCTTATGACAGTTCACGTAGGGACAGTTCAACATTAGAACGGCACTAAAAATGGCATTTATGAACATTTTTTGCAGTTAGACCATTGTAGCATCCCCACGATCATGTGACCAGGTGCTCGATAGCTGGTTAATACTTACCAACGTTGCTGTATCCCAAGGTCATGCAGTGACCTTTGGTGACCTTTTGATAAGCCAAGTCAATGGGGAAGCCAGATTCACTTAACAACGGGGTTACTAACTTATCGACCGCAGTGAGGCACTTAACAAGTGTGGCAAGAACAGTTGTAAAATGGGGCAAAATTCACTTAACAAATGTCTCACTCAACAACAGAGATTTTGGGCTCAATTGTGGTTTGTAAATTGAGGACTACATGTACTGGGTATACCTGCACCCACCTGAGTTAATCATCCCTTACTTAGGTGTGTGGGTCTGTGTGTATGGGCTAGATCAGTGGTTCTCAACCTGTTGGTCGGGACCCCATTTGGGGTCGAACGACCATTTCACGGGGGTCGCCAAACAAGGCTGTCCGCCATTTTTCCCCCCTTTTCTTTGGCCACGCCCCTGGCACCCGGTGATGTATAAGTGGTTGGGGGTCACCACAACATGGAGAACTGTATTATGGGGTCGCGGCATTAGAAAGGTTGAGAACCACTGGGCTAGATTGATCTGGAGTTACGTAATCTGATTTTTTTTTTTAAATAAAATCGATGAGACGGGCGCCTGGATGGGAATGTTTTGTCAAATCTGAATCGAGGTAATAATTGTTTGGGAACAATTAAGTCAGTGATGGCGAACCTTTTAGAGACCGAGTGCCCAAACTGCAACCCCAAATCCACTTATGTATCACCGGGTGCCGGATAGGTGTGGCCCACTCGGCGGGCGCAGCCATAGTGGGCTTGGCAGACTGGGTGGGCGTGGCCACTGGATGGGTGCAGCTGAAGTAGTCATGACAGATTGGGTGGGCATGGCCGGGGTGGGCATGGCCGGGGTGGGCGTGGCCACCTCAATGTTGCTTATGGGGAGGGACACCTGTGGGAGCCGGGCAGGGTTAGGGGAGATCCAGGGGGTCTCTGGCAGGTGGGATGGTGGGCTCCCCAATGGCGGCTCCAGGCTGGCTGGCCTTAGGCCAGTGATGGCAAACTTTTAGAGAACACGTGTGCTGGGGCGATGGCGTGTGCCCACAGGGAGAGCTCCACGTGCCGCCTCTGGCACGCGTGCCATAGGTTCACCACCACTGAATTAGGTTATACAGGTAATCCTCAACTTACGACCACAATTGAGCTCAAAATTTCTGTTGCTAAGCGAGACATTTGCTAAGTGAATTTTGACCCATTTTATGACCTTTCTTGCTACGGTTGTTAAGTAAATCTCAGCGGTTGTTAAGTGAATCGGGGTTCCCCATTGACTTTGCTTGTCAGAAGGTCGCAAAAAGGGATCGCATAACCCCGGGACACTGCGACCGTCATAAATACGAACCAGTTGCCAAGCGTCACAATTTTGGTCACATGAGCACAGGGGAGGCTGCAACGATCATAACTGTGAAAAATGGCCAGAAGTCACTTTTTTCAGTACCGTTGTAAATTGGAACGGTCACCAAATGAACTGTTGTAAATCGAGGACTACCTGTATCTACTGACATTTTCTGCCTGTCCGCTGCTCCACTAAGGCTCCAATTTCTGTCTTTTCAAGTCTTGCTTTCAAATGCTCCAGGTTGTTTGGGGTAACACCGAAAACCACACACTACTTAGCATTGTCTCATTTTACTGTCTTGAACTTTGTTCTTTTTTTTTTTTTTTTTTTTGCAGTCCTGTTTTGGTTGTATCCAAGCAGTGCAGTGCTAGGTGTGTTTACTTAAAAGCAAGTCCTGCTGTGTTCAGTGAAGCTTAATTTCCAGATGAAGAGGCACCAGGCGGGTGCAGTCTAAGTTCCTGTTGAATTGTGTTTGTGTGTTGGGGGTGGGTGGGTGTTCGTGCACACATCTGCTTCCTCCCAATGGCCTGCTGGTCCATGATTTCCGTTGTCCTAGAATGCTGATCAAAATCAATCCTGCAGGCTTTTCTCTGTTCTCCTTCTGAATCTCTTTTTTTCCCCACCCTCTTCAAGGTCTGTCACTTTCCTGTCATGGCAACGATTGTATCCGAAAAACTCAGCCACCTCTTCATCAACCTCCAGCACTTGTGCAAAATCCCTCGGATTCTGGCCGAGGCCTTGCCTGCTCCGTCCTGCACAGTGGCAGCCTCCGACGTGCCCCAGCTTTTCCGGAAGCCTTACATCCAGGCCGGCTACCGACCCCTCCACCGGAGCTGGACCTTCTACTTCCTCTCCCTCTTCCAGCAGCATAATGAAGCCCTCAACGTCTGGACGCATCTGCTGGCAGCTTTCATGCTGCTGGGGCGGTTCTGGCAACTCTCCCAGATGGTCGATTTTGTGGGTGACCCGCACGCCCAGCCTTTCTGCATCGTGGCTGTGTCTTCCATCATCTACTCCACCTTCAGCACCTTGGCTCATCTCTTGCAAGCCAAATCTGAGTTCTGCCACTACGCGTTCTTCTTCCTGGATTATGTAGGGGTGGCTACCTACCAGTACGGTAGCGCTTTGGTGCATTATTACTACGCCATTGAGCCTGAATGGCACGCCTGGATCTCCAGTTTCTACATTCCAGGTGCGGTGGGGCTGGCTTGGTTGTCATGTGTTGGTTCCTGCTACGCCAAATACCGATGCCCACACCTCTCCCCTCTGCAGGGGAGGCTCTACCAGGAAATGCCCTCTGCAGTAGCCTATGCTTTAGACATTAGCCCTGTGCTCCATCGTATCTATACCTCCACCATCTCTGGGCAAAGCGACTTGGCTGCTACCTACCATAAGTGCCACATTTTGTGCTTCCTGGTTGCAGCCTTTTTTTTCGCCTACCCCTACCCCGAGAAGTGGTTTCCCGGGAAGTGTCACTTTGTTGGACAAGGCCACCAGCTCTTCCACATGATCCTCATACTATGTACCTTCATCCAGTTAGAGGCAGTGCTTCTTGATTACCGGACTAGGAGGCCCATTTATTCCGAGCTGCATGGCGACCTGGCTCCTTTTTTTTCCATTATGTGCCTTGTGCTGATGGTTTGCTGTGGCCTCACAGCCCTCTACATGACCGTCAAAGTAAAACACAAAGTCTGGCCGAAGCGGGACTGAGTAAGAGGATGCTGGCTTCTGGGGACTTAACCCAAAGCTTCTTCTTTAGGTACACTTGCTCAGTTTCAACTGGGAATGTCAGTCCTGCTGTCATTTAGGAAACTGAATAGGATAGGTAGCTATTGCTGGGGTCTTCGTCTCCTCCTGCACTGGAGACCTTGCTTGCGGGTTGCTCTGTCCAGGCAACTGAGATGATAAGCTGGAGGTTGCATCAGAAAGGAAGTGACCAAACTCTTTGGTGGAAAGGAATTCCGTGTTTTGCTTCCTGGGGGATGGTACTGTAACTCTGCTGGCTCTGATTCAAAGGAGAACCCGTTGTTGGTATGACTCTCAGAAGCTATGTCTTGCATCCTTCTGAATCAGAGCTGGTGGCCTTCGAGCTTTGAGGAATCCATTTGATTATTATAAGTGTTTCTAGATCCATAAATGGGACCCTGGGCCAGAGGCATCTGATTAGGATCCTGAGGCCAGGAACTGGTTCTGAATATCAGAACTAGAAGAAGCAGCCCAACATTCATCCTGGGGTTCTCTAAACTTCCTTCATTTCAGCAGCGCTTGAGAGATGATGGGTGGGATGGTTATTTTCACTGCTGCTGTTAAAAGAGGTGCCAGCCTACTGGCCATGAACCACACCGAGAGCTGCTAAATACTTGCAAATGTCTTTTGGTCTCTCCCGTTTTTTAAGTAGCGGAAGAGCTTCAGGAAGCAGGATTAGAGATTCCACTTAACCAGCACTTCCTCAGGAGGAGAGGACTTCCTAGCCTCCATATTTTGATTAAAATAGCTCTTGCTTTGGGTTGCACTGATTTTGTCCAGCACCTTTGCACTATGCAGTCCTAGCCCCACAATTCTGCGCCCTACTTCAGGGCACTCCTGCAGCAGTGGTGCCTTCACGGATTGCCTTCTGCAGTATCCAGACAAAAGCATCCTTCCTTGTTTTGGGAAAGCATCTAGTACTTCCGCTTGCCTACCGTGAGCCGGGCCTTGGGAAACCTGCCAGGTGGATGTGCCTTCAGAAGACCACCTGTCTATCCAAAACTTTGTGTGTGGGGTGATATTACTTGTGATATTTTTAGTGCTGTGGTAAGGTTGTTTGGAGAGGAGAACTGCGAGTCAAAGTGAGGTTTGAGAAGGGGGAAGAGATGGGTTTTGGTGGCGACTATTTTCAGAAGGAAATCCATGCAACTATAATGGGTTGAGCTAACAGATATTAAAGCAGTGCTCCAGAGCCCTTCCCCCCCCCCACAATGATCTCTGGGTCCCTTCTATCAAATGTAATTATCTGCTCATCTACTACCCTCGAGATCTATTCACCTCTAGTTTTTTTACACAGCAGTGAGGCTTCATTGTCAGCTATAATCTGCCCTTTTTGAATGGCAATGCCAAGGGTTGAGACCTGCCCTTCTCCCATGGCGAACATTTGTGACACCAACAAGCTGTAGTCCCTGCATTTGAAGACCTTTGAGATCCCTACGATTTTCAACCAGATTGCACTCTGTGTATACTAGGCATCATTTTATTGGGTCTCTCTTCCATGAGTATATGTTCAACCTTCTTTTAAAAGCCCATCTGTGTTTGTGACTGTCACGGTATCATATGCCAAAGAAAACCATGCCTTTCTGATGATATGTTCTTCCTCATCTTTTGGACCATTCCAAATTCCAGTGCATGCTTACCGGGTAAGTAAGTAAATAAACTTAACACGAGTGTCACTCTGTTCACAGCTTAAGAGCAATGAGATTGCATCTTCCATTTACCAAACACATGTCCTGTTTTTCCCCCAGGAGAGTCGAAATTAAAATCCCTAAACAGAGTCAGTCGAGAAATACTTGGGGACACTTCATAATGGGTTGGCTCTGGATGTTCTGTTTATTTCAGTTGCAATCCTGCACATACTGATGGGGACTCAGCCGTGCTAAATTCCCTGGGGCCTACTTCTGTGTAAACAAGCATGGGAGCGCATGACTGGCTTCCCCTGAATGCAGTGGGATTTAGCTTTGTCCCAACTCAGTTTTACCCTGTTTCTGGTTGGTTGAGATCCAAACACCAATTAGTTATATTAGCCTTCCCCAGTTGGGAATGATTGACGCTGAAGTCCAACACATGTGGGAATACTAGCCAAGTGATATGTGCAGGCTGAGACACAGTGCTGACCACATTTGCAACATCAGGATCCATCACGGGTTTTTTAAATGGAATAATTTGATGTGGTTCGACCTTTGCAAAAGGCTAATATGGTTCAATATTTAGAAGTGGTCATTGCTTTGTTTCTTGCCAGCCTTCACTGCCTGCTTTGTGTCCAAAACTGAGAGTGCAGATTGCCAGAATGGGGGGGGGTATCTTCCCACCCCATAATCTATGATTAAAAGTAAGTTTAAGATAAGGTAAAAAAAATCAGTTTTACAAATCCTAAAGAGAAGAATCAAATATCTGGGTCATACCCATCTGTCAAATACCTGATCCACCCCTTCCCCCGTATTTTAGGTTTATCTGTCTTCCAAAAAATGAGCCACCTCTGTTGGAGATACATTAAGCCAGTTGACAAATTGGTTTAACTTGGGTTGACATCAGCAATAAGGGGCTTCGTGCTGTCTTCCCTGAGTGACACGATCATGGAAAAGCATGAGTTTCAATCTCCTTGTGAATTCGGGCTTTGGGGAAAAATCAACTGGAAAATGGAATGGCCCATGGCAGGAAAGAGGGGGAGCCCAAAAAGCTGTTGCTGTCCCTTCAGTTTTTCCCAGGCTATAAGTCTTCTCTTGACCCCTCAGTTCAATCTCCCCTCCCTATCAGAATTATAAAATTGCCTAGCTCAAAACATTTTGTTGGACTGGATGATGTTTATGGATCTATACATGTGGGCCGAAATCTTTTTACCGATTGTCCTGGATGCTGAAAGATGGTTTTTCAGTCACCCTGCAGAATTATTTGTAAAAAGGAAGTCTGGATACATGTGTCTGTTGATTTTTGTTTTCTTGTCTCTTCTACATTTTGTACATGTTAGTGGGCCTTGACGCCTCCACTTGTTTCTATTAAAAAAAAGAGAACATTTTATAAGCCAGATATTCTAACCTTTTGCCTCATTTATCCTTTACACCACCTTCATCAGTGGGGAGAGAAAGGGGTTCTGGAGCCAAATCTTGCAGTGAGGAGGGCTCCTGAGCATACTTGCAAGTCCATATCCCATTCTGCTACAGACAGAATTCAGGGAATCGGATTTTTTTTTCCAGTCTTTGCTGGGTTGATTTAACGAGGGGTGGAACATTTTGGCTACATAAAAAGATTAGCTCTTCCTACAAGGGAGGGGAGGAGAGGGGAGGGAAGGGATGCAGTTGAAAGAGACCAAAAGTATAGGAAATGAGAAGAGAGGGAAAGAGAAAGAGAAAGGAAGACAAAGAGAGGACAGGAGAACGGGAAAAGAAAGGAAAGATCTAAGCCCGTGATGGCAAACCTATGGCACGGGTGCCAGAGGTGGCACGCAGAGCCCTCTCTGTGGGCACATGCACCATTGCCCCACTCCTAGGACTTCAGCTGGGTTTTATAAAACCTTTTCACTTTAGGCCTCCGACGCCATGTGCAAAAAAAAAAAAAAGGTTCAATCAATCAATTTCAACTTCTCGTGGGAAAAAAAATCTCGGCAAAGTTGGAATTGATTGATTGTGCAGCCCGCCCACCCAATGGGCCACACCCACCCAATGGGCCATGCTCACTGGTACTCGACAATACATGTGGGTTTTGGGTTGCAGTTTGGGCACTCAGTCTCTGAAAGGTTTGCCATCGCTGATCTAAGCGCTGGCATTTATCATCTTCTGGATTGGATGTGAACGGTGAATATGTGAAACTCGGGGCTTAGGAGACTGGGGGTTGCATTTCAGCATCTTCCTTCTAGCTATTTTGCTCCAATTTCAACTGAATTAAGAATGTGGTAGAGAAAAAGAGAGGTGGTAATAGCAAAGAAGGTGTTATATCTCATGAACAAAAGCCATCTATCTGAGCAGCTAGACCCTGCAGTTTCAACCATAACCCTTTTCAGTTGGTGGTCTTTGAACTCTTACTAGGCTAAACCTGACTCACAATAAGCTAGTTTGTGACAATGGGAGTTGTAGTGAAGCAACATAGAGAACCAAGGCTGATTTAAAAAAAAAATCTAACATAAAAATGCAATACACACTGACACTCTTTGATATTTACCAAAAGAAATTGGGACACGTTTGTTAACTCTACAGAATTCTGGGGATGTGTATGAAGACAGGCAAAATAGAGGCAACATAACAGTGTTTAGGAAAAAAAAAACCTGTTCTGGAGATAAAGTTGTTTCATTGTCTGATTTGAAAAATAACACTGTGGCTGACAGATTTGGGAACCTCTCCACAACATTGCTGCAATGTGACCACATTGCTGAGTATCCTTTGTAGCTTGCTCTAAATGTCGACACAGACACACAACGTTGCATGATATGTGTGTTTAAATAAACAAAAGTCACTGTCTAGTCTTCCTTAAGAGAAGCGGCTAGATGAAGACCTTAAAATACGCTGGTTTCTTCTGTCTGGTCCTCTTCTACATTCCTTCAGTTTCCAGGATTCCAAATTTGGGAAGAGAGAAAAACAAGCCTCAAATCAATTCAATAGACAAAAGCAAATAATCAAATGCACTGCAAAGAGGCAGGCAATGTAGGTTTCCGTTGTTCTTTTAAAAACAACAACAAGGAAGTAAGACAACATTTAGTTCCCATAAAGGCCAGGGATGTTTTTCTCCAACTTTGCAGTTTATGACACTTTTGGCAAGGACGAATTTAGAAGTAGGAAATCTTATTAATGCGAAAATATGTCTACTGTCACAGAGAATGAATCTGCCTTCTTCACTGGTGGTCTTTTGTACTTAGTTTCATCCATGTGGGAAGTTAGAGGTTGCCTTGAACTAGAAAAAAAATCTGCTTTCCTTGCAAATAACGCAAGGTTGAACATGCAGGAGTTTGCAGCAATTGAAAGATTTCTAACGCCTTGAACTGTGGATATTTTTACGTTTATTTTTATGTTATCCTGCCTTTATTACTTTGCAAGTAACTCGAGGTGGTGAACAAATACAGTACTCCTATTTTCCTCACAACAACAGCACCTTGAAAGATGAGTTGGACTGAGAGAATAACTGGCCTAAAGTCACCTGGTCGGCTTTCATGCCTAAGGCAGGACTAGAAGTCACAATCTCCAGGTCTGTAGCCTGGTGCCTTAACTATTAGACCAGTGGTTCTCAACCTTTTTAACGCCGCGACCCCAACTGGTCGTAAGTTGAGGACTACTCAACCGGTCGTAAGTTGAGGATTACTCAACTGGTGCAGCACCGTTTGCAGAATGGGACTTTTGGCGGGCTCAGCAGGGCAGAGACAGCCTGGACAATTCCTATTGGCTTTTGAAAGCCAATAGAATTAGACTCTATTCAAGAGAGACTATTCTATTGGCTTTCAAAAGCCAATAGAATAAAAGGGAATAGCACAGCTAAGGAAAAGGGGGGGAAAAATGGCGGACTGCGTTGTTTGGTGACCCCCGTGAAATGGTCGTTCGACCCCAAATGGGGTCCCAACCCACAGGTTGAGAACCGCTGTATTAGACCAAACTGGCTTTCCTAGTGAATGGGACCGGTGTTCTCTGCTCTTCAGTCCTGTTGACTTACCAAGGAAAATCAGCCTTGCTGTGCTGGTAGCCTTCAGAGAACCTTCCTCTCCATCCAATAGTCTCCAGAAGTCTTGGATTTAAACTCCCATAATCCCCAGTCCTGTTGACTAAGCATGATGGAGGTGAAGTACAGTATCTGAAGGATGCCAAGTCAGAGAAGAACTTCCAGCAAGACTGCCCAGGTCTTGGAAATCTAGAGGCGCAGGCTCTTATTCAGATGAAAGGGCCTTTTCATTTTCCCAAAGTGATGCTCAAGATGAAAGGGCTGCCTGCTTTGAGGCTTTTAAAACGTCCTCATGAGCTTTACCAGCTGCCACTGGCTGCCTGGAGCCAGAGGTCATCAGCTCAAGTCCTCTGTCCTTGCCAAGCTCCTAAACTGAACAGCCCCCAAAATATTTGGTGAAGGACTGAGATCAAGGCTGAAGGGCCTAATGCAGTGTTTCTCAACCTTGACAATTTTAAGGCATGTGGACTTCAACTCCCAGAATTCCACAGCCAGCATTGCTGGCTATGGAATTCTGGGAGTTGAAGTCCACATGCCTTAAAATTGTCAAGGTTGAGAAACACTGGCCTAATGTAATCCATACTCTTTTCAGCTTCCCTGGGAAAGGCCCAGTGGCCTCTCTTCTGGCTCTTAATCTCGATGACCCGCTTAAAATATTTACACACATTCTGTGCTAGATAAGTAGGCACATCTCTAAGTGCTGTACTCTGCAATGATTAAGGTTATAAACCCCACTTATCTGAGATGCCCTAATTAAAAAAAAAACAGAATGTTCTCATTGTAGGACAATTTGGCGAACTGGTCTGCAAAAATTCACTCTTCAGTTCTGGGTCTTTCTCTAGTCAATGATCCCAGGGTCACAAGTGGATGAAAAGGTGATGTTTGGGGAGATCTGGAGCTGCAGACTTCATTTATGTTGGATGGGTGCCCGGTGCTATTCACAAGCCCTTCCTAGAGTTTTCTGGTTTGGGCTCCAGCTGATAGATTTCAAAACAGCAGTGAATGAAAGATGTCTCGTTGTATATAACAGAGCAGAACTTTTCTGCCTGTTGGCTGCATCAGATAAACAGAAACGAATCCCTGACTTCATTCTGTGGCTGTCCCCGCTGGAAACAGAACTGCGCCAAGGGTCTCCTTCCCCTTGTGTCCCTCTCCAGCACCCTGCAGACCATCCTGTGACTCAGCATGCAAACACTTTTGATTCTGAAATGGCTTTTGACATACCAGCCACGCCCGAAGAGACTTCCTTCTAGTTTTTTTTAAGCAACCTAAAACAAATGATGAAATACATCTTTCATTGTGCAACTGTAGCTGTTCCTAATAAAAAGAACATGCTATGTTTTTCTTGTTGTTTTTGTTCCGCTGAAGCAAACTCTGTTTGAGGGGCCAAGGAGATGTTCTTGACAGTCTTACTGGACTGCAGAAGTCTTTCCCCTGTGCCTTTTGCACACCCACACTGGACCGAGAAAATAATTGGGAGCTCTAATCTGCCTCTACCCAGAAAAATGCTCAGGGTTCCTCTGATAAGTTTGTTTGCTTTAAAATTTTCCAATAGCCTCTGCCACAGTTTTATTCGGCAAGGTTGCAAAATAAATAAAATGACCGTGCCTGTGGGTATACAAATCTCAAAGGAAATTAGTTAAAGAGTTTTCTAAGAATGAATAGATGCCCACTAGATTCTGAGATCACCAGGATGGAAGACTGTTTAGGCATTGACTTCAAGTCAGGTAAATTGTGTTGCCTTAGAATTAAACATGTCTGTTCTAATGAAGAGAAGGACTGGGGTGACATGGTAGCAGTGTTTCAATATTTGAGGGGCTGCCACAAAAAAGGGGAGAGGGTCAACCTAGTTTCCAAAGCTCCAGAAGGCAGAACAAGAAGCAACAGATGGAAACGAATCAAGAAGAGAACCAACCGAGAACTGAGGAGGCATTTCTTAATAGTTACCGTAGAACAATTAATTAATGGAACACTTGTCTCCAGAAGTTGTGGATGCTCCAACACTGGTTTTTAAGAAGAGATTGGACAGCCACTTGTCTGAAATGGTATAGGATTTCTTGCCTGAGCAGGGGGCTGGACTAGAAGACCTCCAAGGTCCCTTCCATCTCTGTTATTTTGTAATTCTAATTAGGCCCTGGATGTCTGCTCCATTGGCCGGCTGGTGTTTGCAGCACCCCTGCTACAGACAGCAGATAGAATCCCTTTCTTTCTCTTAAGGATGTAAACCCCAGTGATTTTAAGCCTAAAGACCTTTAGAAGAAAAAAAGTGATTGCATGGCATAATCTCATTTGGACTTATTTGAACAGGGTGCTTCTTGTTGATTTTCCAAGAGTGAGAGACTGGATCACAGGCTGCAAAAAGATCTACAGATATTCCTAGACCAGGGG